TAGGGACGGAAGGGATCGGCTCGGATCCTAGAAGAGGGAGAGGGAGAGGGAGACGAGAGATGGGATCGATCGTGGAGGCTGTTTCCGCCATGGAATTGGGTCTGATCGGAGAATTGGAGGGAACTACAGTGATTGGCGACGGAAGCTCATCACTGGGATAGCTGATTTTGAATCGAGCGGATTCTAGCTGATTTTTTATGTTAAAAGAAAAAAAAACATAACTCCTTGAATTTTTTTAATTTTGCATCGAATAAATCTCTAATTTACGAGAYCATTGTTTTTTGTTTTTAAGTTCATATGACYATATGAGACCATCGTTAAAGTTTAAATATTTATTTATTTAATACAATATATATGGGCATGTGGAATCCAACTAATTTAAAATATATATCCATTATCGTTGAATTTTTTTAATAAAATTTAAATACTTATTTTAGCAAAATTGAAAGTTCAAAAATTTATAGACATATTATTCCAAATTTGAAAACTCTTTTCCTTGATACTCATTAGACATCTTTTAAAGTTCAACAATTTATTATAGATGCCAACATATGCACACTTCAATGATAATTGACATGTACTATAGTTCTATGATTTTTGTCTTTATAATGACTCCAATTAAGTGTTTTTCCTTTTTTWAAAGAAAAACTAACTAAAAAACACTGATTAAGTTTACTTGCTTAATAATTTCAAAATAAAGCAATTACTAAATATATTATTCAATTTTATTTTAACTACGTGGTATAATAAAATACTCGAATTATTCTTAAAAAAAAATCAAATACTCAAATTATACTATCACAATTCAATTATTGGAAGCTCAAAAAAAAAAATACACAAACTACCTATAAATACAAATGGTAACTATTAAACCTCAGCAACATATTATTCAATATCAAGTATTTTTAATGTTTTGTTTTTTAATACAATAAATATTGAGGTGAGAGACTGAAATTTCCAGCTTTAACAAGTCTTGATAAGCTATCACAATAAAGAAATTCGTTAAAAGAGATATCTTATCGATTTGTCTTTCAATATGGATTATTTTTCCCTTTCTGTTGTTTCTCATCTGTATCACCTTTAAGAAAGAAAAGAGATATTTGACTTCTCGTCCTATTGATAACTTTGTATCCTATCAAGTATTTTGATTTTGAAGCTTTCGTTTCGATGATAAGATAGCCTCCTAAGAAAAGCTCTCAATCATCCTCAGTGAAAGAAAGCTACGATATAAGAAATGAATGCTATAAAGAAGAACRACACTTGGGAACTGATCACGTTACCAACAGGCAAACGTATAGTTGGATGTAGGTGKATATATATTCTGAAACACAAAACCAATAAATTTATTGTTTTATCTATAAAACTATATTAGATTGATGGCCAGATGTTTAAAATTACACTTAAAATAGATATTTTAAAAATTTTAGAGTACATGTAAAATAGATATTTTAAGTGCCACCTGAAAGTCCAGAGGGTGGAATTGGAACTTAAGAATAATAATAATAATAATAATAATAATAATAAGTTCTTATTCTTAAAAAATCTAAATTGAAAAAAAACTAAAATTAAAAATTAGAAACGAAAATTGATATCCGATATTAATTACTGAAAAGTTGAACTTCGTTCCTGAAAGTACTATTTCTCAGTGATGCACCGAACGGAAATGGGAAATTGAAACCATTAGGCAAATTAGCGAGCGGACAATTGGGAGATGGGATCGGCAGCAGCGCCATGGAAGTCCCTTCTTCTCACTGCTTTGGAATCTAATGGCCACATCAAGCATTCCCAATTCTTGCAGCTCGTACAGCTCTCTCACTATTTCTCTCAAAGCTTAACTACTTTTTTTTTTTTTTTCCTTTCTCACCGTTTCGATTTCGAATTCGTTTTCAGGCAACGGTAGGAGCGAATGGAAGGCCCTCCAATCGCACAGTTGTTTTCAGAGGATTCCAAGAGGGCAGCGATAATATCCAAATCAACACGGATTCTAGAAGTCGCAAGGTTCTTTTACGGGAAGCCTTATATTTCATTTTAAATTGCTTAATTCATACGGCCATTTGTTGTTCTGTGGTTTTTAACGCAATGATTATCTGGGTTTCTGGAATTTTATTGCAATCTGTATTTAGTGTTATTGATTATGTAATGTGGATCCACGTCTATGGCAGTAACAAGACAAGCGATGAATTATGCTCGGTTCCTAACAGGCATTTTCTGGTTCTGTAATCGCGTCTATTGACTCTCTCGATACTGTTGACTCCTCGACCATCCAAGTATCAACAATAGCTTGGATCTTCTAGAACAGAAATATAGCAGATTTTCCTAGTAGAACTTCTGCATTGATTTGTTGGCTGGCAATWTGTTTGTGATGAAGTAGATCTGAGTTTTGTCTTTAAAATGAACTTGGCTTTTGGTTGATTCTGCAGGTTGAAGAGCTTAAGAATTGTCCATTTGCTGAGGTATTAATCTCCCTGGCTAGAGAACATAGTATATGATATAAATAATTTCTTCATGAGTCTCTCTAGCTTATTGTATTGAGATTGCTGCTGAAATGTATGTGCCAATTTGAGTCAAAATTTCGATTTTAAATGTTTTAGTCTTTTAGATATGCTGGTATTTCACCGAATCATGGGAGCAATTTCGGATCAGTGGGAGAGTTGAGGTTGTTGATTCATTGTATCCTGATGCTATAAAACTTCAGGTTGTAGGSATGGCCCTTTCCACTTGTAACTTGAAGCTGGTTCTAACTTTTTAGATTTCACTTTTTCACTTTACTCTTGGTGATATTCTCTTGCATATTCTATCATGATCATGCTGAGTTCACATTGCAGCAAAGAGAGAAAGCATGGTCCTCTATTCCTTCAAAGACAAGAATGCAGTATTTGGGACCTAATCCAGGCCTTCCCTATCTTACTGGACAACCAGCCAAGGAAAATCTTCAAGATTCTTCTTCGGGTCCTGTTGATTCATACTGTTTGCTTGTTTTCAATCCTGATCAGGTTTGTAATGTATTTTGTACATGATCATACATTCTCCAATCTCCATCATGTTAATTTTCCATATGTTACTTACCCCTTTCTATCTTTCATTCACAGGTTGATTATGTGAATTTGAAGAGCGAAAAAAGGTTTTTGTATAAAGCGAGTTCGAGTTCAAGAGGGGAGAAGCTGTGGAGTACTGAGAGGATAAACCCTTAGCCACCGACAACGAGCTGCTATCCTAAAGCCAACTGATGCAAATTGTTGTGTTGGTTACAAGTGTTCTAAATAACTTGAAACTCTTTCAGGACTACTGAATACTTTCTTGAATATACTTTCTTGTGTTGCACATTCTCTGTTCTAAAGAAATCATTCAATAATAGTTTCCAGGCTAAGAAATTTCATAGCTTTATGATCTCAACTTCATGGAATGTGCTTCCCAAGCTTACTAGATTGAGTCAACAATCTGATTATACCAGAAATGATTGTGTTTAATGTCACTCGTGCTTGATTGGTGGTTATAACTTCAAAAAAATTATCATTAATGTTTCAAAATTTTGTACAAACTTCATAGAGGCATTAAAAGACACTCCCTCATGTATGCCAAAAGGCCTAAAACTAAGGATTGGCAACAAAACAAAATCCAGAACTTGAATTAAATGACTTTAATACTTCTCAACTCTACTTGTCAAATTCCCAGATGACGCCTCCATCCTCTGCAAGTACACATCAAAAAGAAAAATCAATCACACTGTATACTGACACATATACTTTGAAAAGAGAAAAAAAAAAGAAGTCCTTAAGATATAGCTTCTAGATAAGGTTGATGATATAAGGTTAAATTACAAGTTTAGTCATAAAATTTCATGATTGTGTCAAATAGATCGACATTTTTCCAAATTCAGAGACTTTAACCTTTCACTTTGTGTCTAATAGGTCTATGAATATTAAAAAATGTCTAATAGGTCAATCAAGACTATTAAACACAAAATATAAAGTTCGATGGTGTTTTTAGACACTTAAGTTTGGAGACCTATTAGACAAGAAAACTAAAATCTTATGCCCCGTTTGATAACCATCTTATTTTTTAAAATTAAACTTGTAAACACTACTTTCACATATGTATTTTTATGTTTTCCATCTACTTTTATAAATTGTTTCAAAATCTAAGCTAAATTTTGAAAACTAAAAAAAAAAAAAAGTAGTTTTTGTTTTTGAAGTTTGGCTAAGAAACATGAAAACATAATAAAAAAATTGTGACAAAMCAAACATAATTTTCAAAAACAGAAACTAAAACCCAAATAATTATCAAATAGGGCCTTAGTAACCTATTGATACTCTTCTAGAGTTCAACAACATGCAAGACATTTTGAGATTCATGGACTAAACTTATAATTTAACATCCTTATAATTTAACAATCATAATCTTACTAAGAGTAAGAAGTATATTGAGAGCATACTTTTAACTTTATCATTTATCCAGATCTCCACCAGCATCCCAGCACCAATTCCACCTGCAATAAAGGCCCCATAGAATGCAATGGCAGAGGGAAGGGATCTTCTAGGAAGAAAATAATAATCTGGAATTTGCCTGATTTTTGTTGGACGCCTTTTCTTTATAATGTTTGTAGAGCTGGGATCTTTTTGCATATCGCCACCCACGGCTTTCCAATCAACTCCCTTGAAAGGGTCTTTTGCTTCTTCTCCCATAGCTGCCTGCAGCTTCCCTCTAACTCAATTCTACTGTCCTCCAACCTAAAACAATAAGACTGAGGTTTGAAGATACTTCTTTTTTTGTTGCATAAGAAACTATTTCATTGTAATATGAAATGTACTAAGGGAAGGGGCAGAAAATCTCAACATTGCTAAGAAATTACAGAAAAACTTCGTGTTGGTTGAAAGAGAAGATAACCCATAATCATAAAAATGTTTGGTTAATCTGCACAAAAATAGAGCCATAGAGAACAATATGTCCCACCACCATAGAAGACAATCTCTCTTTTCCCATAAAAATTCTATATAAAAGTTCTATGTTTCTTCCTAACTACAAAGTCCAACGAGGAGTTCTAATAATTTTTTTCCAAGCTTAGCTCCAGCATTCAGAGGGTGACCGTAGAAGCAAAAGTGAATAAGGTTAAAATTAGTCTAAATATGCCAACCAAGGAGGTTATGAACTGAAGGTTAATGTCGGAAAAGCTGGGCAGCAGAAGATGAAAAAGGCAGTCTTCAGTTTCTTCCCCGATTCTGCCGTCATTCGCAGCAAATAATTTAAGCTAATTTACGAAATTTTTATTCGACTACGGATTTCAAGCATTTAACCCCAATTTGTAGATTTGTCTCCCCTCAATCCAAATCCAGTTATGTGATCAAGAACAAAAAAGTAGACAAAATTTAAATCATCACACAAACTCACCATATATCAAAACACTGCATAAATTACAAGTAAGATATGTAGAAAGAAAAATCTAGATTACACGATTTAGATCAAACTACAAAGAGAGGTGAATATCGAAATAGCACAAATCAAAGAAATGGAAAATGAAATTAATGAACTGAAAATTAAAATTAAAATCGTACCAATCTGAAGATGATAAACGAAAGAATCGGTGGGCTGTGAGCCTGCAAGCTGCAACACTGAGTACCGAGAGGTACGAGAACAAGTAGCAGAGCGCCGGAGGTGACGCGGTGAGGCGCAGAGAGAGCGGTGGTCCGGTGGATTGGATTATCGGCGATGAGCATACAGAAAAATAGGGCAATTTTTTTTCTTTAAATTATTTTGTTTTTTTGGTTATTGGGAATAAGATTTGGGGCAATGAAACGGGCCGGGCCGGGCCGGGCCGGGCCGTGGGATGAATGAGTGAATGAACGCTGGATATAAAGAGTATTTTTTTCAATTCCATTCAGGTTAATATTAATTTTCCACCATTAATAAACCGAACAAAATATAAATAAATTTATATATATCATTCATAGAACAAAAAAGAGAGGAAAAAATAGTGGTGGGTTATATTACTCGATTTCTTAATTTATACGTGTTATTATTACGCCTGAAGGGATGGTTTCATTCTTATTAATCCTTTGATCATGAAAATAGTTTTTCTAATTTCCATCTAAGGTTGTTTTTTTTTTTCTTTTTTATCAAGTTTTTGAAAGAAAAAACTTTTGGAATGACATAAAATGGATAATTAAAAATAAGAGGACTATTCTATGAGGATAAATTATCAAATTATTGTTCTAAGACATTTAAACACAAAAATAAATAAATAAAATTGTCATACAAATTAATTTCACATATACTGATACAGAAAATAAAAATTATTATAAATTGAATGAATAGCCAAAATAGATTATGATTAAAAAAAATGCATAAGGTATCAATAAGTCATCTTTTTATGCCAAATGAATTTCAATTTCAACATATACGTTGAGGCCAAAAAATAAAAAACAAAAAAAAAGAGGGAAAAAAAAATTGCAAACTGGAACTTATTTTCCTATCCAAAACGAGTCGTTTTCATGGAAAAGATAACCCAACAAAACGACACCAAACACACGATAGTTTTCAATCCCGACGCGCATTTCTTGGGTCCCACCGATTCCGTCTTTCTGTCGAGTTAAATTATAAATTTTGTTTATACATTTTCGAGATTTTATTAAATAAGTTTTCAAACTCTAAAAAATCCATAATTTTTTCTTAATTTTATTTTGTGTTTCACTAATTCAGTTAAATTCTGTTAGTTCTAATATTTATGTGGCGCACTACARTTTAAGGATTATGTTGTTATGGCGACATGGTACATGACATTATTTGGAAATACATATTGCGTGGCTATTTAAAGACTTTGGATATTAATTATACTAGTTTTGTAAAATTCCAATCTTTTGTCGAAAATAGGCTTAAATACTATTTTAATTCACATATTTTGATTTTTATTTATTATGGTCCTTGTACTTTAAAAAAATGACTAATTTGATCTATATTTGTAAAATTTTAACACAAATTTTATATACATCATAAAAACTTTCAATACAAAATTATAACTATATTTTTAAGAATTTAGTGAGTGAAGTGTGATGCTAAACAATTATTATCCAAAGAAATGAGATAAAATGAAAAAAAAAATTGACTAAAATAGTTACTTTTAAAAAAACAAAAGACTAAAATAGATGTGCTGAAAAAATAGATATTAAAATTAACCAAAGCTAAAAGTAGACGTTTAAAAAGTAAAAAGATCGTCCCAATGAAACAAAGCAAAAAATACAAGAATTAGAATTGCTGTTTAAATCTTGAAAAGAAATATATTTTTTATATTGAAAATAAATATTTATTCTATACTATATATGTAAATATATGTGCTAAAAATAGAAACCAGAATAATTTATAACTAGAAGATCATTATTAACTTTTCTTTTCAAAAGAGATTATCTCCAAAAACAAGACTTTAATAAAGTTGAAAACATAACTATTTAATCACCAATAAGAATGGACTCAAACCAAAAAATTGAAGATTAATGGGATTAGGTTGTAGATTAATCAGCAAATAAGTTGCTTAAAACCCCAGTTCTACTTACCAAAAAAAAAAAGAAAAAAGAAAAAAGAAAAAAAAAGGGAGAGGTTGAGCAATCAAAACGAGATGAATAATTAAAAGCACCATGGTGGAGAAAAGCAGAACAAATAATCAAACCCCACTTTCTTTCTTTCTTTATTTTTTTAAAAATTTTGGAATTTTTAGGTCAAAAAGGAGAAACCCACCACATAGAATTCACATTATTCTTAATTTCCCACCAAAAGAAAAAAAAAAATAATTAACACACGAATTGGGAGTCAATAGATCCCATACAGATTCATAGAATACGACCAAAAAAACATATAAAAACATCGATAATAATCCTAGTGGGATGGTACTACAAGATTAGTCAAAACAAACACACTCCTTTTTTTTTTTTCTTTTACTAAATTACAATTCAGCCGACACAAAACAAACAACCTAAAAAACATTCTTGCTTGCTTCAACGACACTGCCACATTTTCCACACCAAAGGTAATTAATCAACTTTCTCTTGGCCATGCACATTTCAAGTTTTCTTCAAACAAAAAGGTATAAATTTTGTTGTTGATATTACTGTGTTCTTTGTTTTGAATTTTGTGGGGTTGGAAGATTTATACATATGGAGGAGATGATGGGGGCGGGCGGCGGCGGCGGTGGCGGTGGAGGAGGGGAGCGGCCGAAGGGGAGGCCGCAGGAGCAATTGAACTGCCCGAGATGCAAATCAAACAACACCAAATTTTGCTACTACAATAACTACAGCCTTACTCAGCCGCGCTACTTTTGTAAATCTTGCCGCCGGTATTGGACCGAGGGCGGCTCTCTCAGAAACATCCCCGTCGGCGGTGGCTCTCGGAAAAATAGGAAACCGTCGTCCGGTTCAGTTGCTGCGCCCCACCACGCGCTGCCGGCCACGGCGGCGTTCCAACCGCACGACCTCAATCTGGGGTTTCCCCCAACTTCTTCAGGTGAGTTTCGTTTCACTTGTGTTTTAAATTGCTTTAATTTAAATCTATTTCACTTTCCTTTTTCGCCTATTTTGATTCATCTGTTTACTTTAAAGTCCTATACTTCTTAAATTGTTCATTCTAATTATATGCTTAAACAAAACACAATTTTCTTTGGTATATTTTCACTCTTAAACACAAATTTGGACTTTTGCTTAAATTTAAAAATTAAAAACAAATTTGGGAACGTCAGATTTCGAAAGCGTTTTCAAAAATTAGATACGAAACAGAGAAATATTGACCCTCTAACATATGGATAAGTAATGAATTTTACTGAAAAAAAAAATATATATATATATCAAACGAAGTGTTAATGTTATGTTGAAATTTTAGTTGGATCCAAGTCTGTGTGAATACTTTAGACAAGACAACAAAGTAATTCAAAAGAATCTCTTTTTATCTCCCCTTTCACATATCTCATTGTAAAATTCGTATTGAAAGAGAAATCTCTGTTATTTTTGATATGGTATATTAAAAATCCTACCTTTATAAAATAAATGACTTTTTATAATAGATACGAATTATCCCTTTCATTACCAATTAATTTTGAGATAGACTACATAAATATTAATATTCGTAATGGTAGGTTGAGAGGACGAAATAATGACTTTAGGAAAAAAAAAAGAAGTTAAATTTGGGTGTTTGATTATACATATATATATATATTAAAATATTAAAGGAAGTGTTGATTTGTGGTGTTTGAGGTGAGTTAGAGTACGAGGGGGTTCCGGAAAAGAGCGGCGGCGGTGGCGGTGGATTTGGGTGTTACATACCGAATCTGATGCCGTATTCGGCACGTGATCCGGCGGAGGGCCACGGCCACGGAGTGATGCAAATGCAACACAACGGCGGCGGAGGGAGATTCGGATTTTCGTTTTCCGGCGGATCAGTTGAAAATAATAATGGCCAACAATCCTCGGCGGCTACTGCTACTGCGTATTGGAACAATAATAATGGAGGAGGACCCAGCTGGTAGAAACACAATTAATTAAAAACACTTTCAAATTCACAAAACCAACTTAATTAATTACTTACACCAAATCAAAACATTTCTCTCTATATATATGTGTGTTTCTACTCTCCCTCCTTTGTAATTTTTCATCCTTTTTTTTTTTTTTGGTTGGCTTGGATTGCTTTGTTGTTTGAAGCTTTAATTTGTACTAAAAAAAAGAAATTACTTCTTAACTAACAAATAGCCCCCCAATTGTCTAATTTAGATGTGTGACTATCATATTTCAATAATTTTTGACTTGAATGTAGATATTGGAAGATGTTGATTCATGTCTACTAATAACTGCTGATATAGGTTTGACGTGTTTCAGCCGTGTAAATCTTCTAGAGACATTCTGATGACCTCTTTCAATAATTTCTCAATGGAATTTCTATTGCGTTTCGTTCTATCATATTTTATTAAGACAAACATATAGAAATATCTATCGTTGAGGTGGAAATAGTGAAAGTGAGTGTTCCAGAACTAACACGAATAAGAGTGATTCAAGTAAAACATAAAATTCTAATCATCTAAATCTAAAAAACAATAGGCATTCCGTGGGTTCATTGTGAAATTGCAATAGGTTAAATTATAATAAAATTTTTAAATGAAAAATAAATGTTGGTGAACAATATGGATATCATATTTGAAAATGAGTAGTTTAGACACAATCAAGCTTTCAATTAATCCAAGTACTTGGATAATACTATTTTAATTTACTCATTGATACATTTGATATTTAAGAGTAATTTTAAAAATCGAAAGTAAAAGGATCTAGCAAATTTTGATTTTATATATTAATACAAAAGTATTTATAGTAATTGTCCGACTAAAGCATAACTTAATTAGACAAGACATTAGTAACATCTCTAAAGATCATATATTAGAGTATATAATTCTCTATAATTCATACAGTAACTGTAGTTTATATAACTCAACAACCAACAAAGCATTAGTAATAGAAAATCAACCAAGTAATAAATATATTAACATTTACTTTTTAAGCTTGAGATAATTAAGTTAGGTTAACCTAAACATAGTTTAAATAATTAAAATATGTTGATACTTAAAAAAAGGGTTAAAACACCCATTTTCAATCGAAAATTCGTGAGTTCGAATCGCTACTCATATATTGTATTAAAAAATATTAATAATTAAGTTACAAAGTTTTAAAAACTCCTAATTGTCAAAAGAAAAAATAATAATAAATAATGGTGGTGAATATTAACGAGAAATTCAAAATGGAGGTAGGATAATGATGGTTTCAAAAAAAAGTTGATTTTAGTTTATTATTTGAAGGGGAAAAGTTGTTTTTATTTAATTCTTTCGAAATGGAGACCATAATGAGATTCGTCCACTCCTAATTATGGTGAAATTTTCTATATAAATAAACTTTACTTTATTCATGGAAGCTACTGATATTTATAATTATGAGAGCCTTCTAATTATTTCTATCTTACTCAAGTGTTTATATTGTTGGGTCATCTCTCTTCATGATTTCATACTTCAAGAAATTAAAAAGCAATGCCCTTATTATTGATTTTTTTTTTATGGGGCCATATGCCATAACTATTATTATTATATATTTTTTTTGCAAAGGTATGTGGCATAATTAATTTGTATGACTACTTTTTTCATAAATTATAATATAAGTCAATGTACAAACACTTAATTTACTATCATTTCATAACAAGAAATTTCAAGTTTTTTTTAGTACACAATAAATTTCACGTTGGAGTATACTGTACGTGGTCATAATAAATTCTCTCTAAGTAGAGATTTAAATACACTCATTATATCGTAAAAATGTATAAAAGTGAGAATAAATCAACTTAAGAATAATTCAAACCATTAATTACAAAGTTGTAAAAAATTAAAATTCGCATCATAATTAAGTTGACTTGAGATTGTGAAAAAAATTAATTGATTTACCAAAGTTGAATTCAACAAGTCAATTACCAATTACAAAGCATTGGTTAACTAATTTTTACTGTTGTGAAATTGTTATTAATAACCAACATTCATCCTTCCCATGGATAACTTCCTAATAGTAATTAGTAAAGCACTAATTGAGATTCAATAAGTTAAAAAATAAAAAAAGAAATAAATGAAATGAAATATTTACTTTTTAAAAGATAAAGCAAAAAAGTTGACTTATAAAGCAATCTTTCTTTCGCGTGTGTATTATAAGTATTATTTGTGATATCAAAAAGTAGTCAAATTTAAACGAGACATGAGTGCGACACAAGTAAAGTAATGAATGGAAAAGATAAGATAATGTGTTTCGTTCATGAACTCCACTTCAAAAAGAAGCTCAATGAAATAAATAAATAAAAAAATAAAACCAAAAGGTTAATGAGCAATTTACATTTTTACTCAAATAAATCCCAAGTTTTACTCTTTACCAGCCCCAGTAAAAAAGGATGACATCTTTACCAACTCCCATTTTCTTTTCAAGTGTTTTGCTTAATTTCCACTACTGATTTTTACTCCAAATGCATGCTTTTCAATGCATGAAAAGGAGAGGAAGGAGTGAGACAATTACCCTCTCAAATGTCCAAAAAGATATATAGAAAAATAAATATTTAAAACTTTTTCCCCTGTTTCCCCCCTAATTTATAGAATGGAAAGATATTATATATAAAAAAGTTATAAGATGAGAATTTACCCCTTCCTATAAAGATTTATGGCTCCAGTATTCTTATTCTGATCCTCTTCTTTTCGTTTTATTCTTGTTTCCCTGCCAAACACTGCCTAATTAGCCTCAACTTAGAACTTCAATTACAAAACTTCTTGCATGGAAACAGAGCAATTTCACTTCAATGGAAACCATCCAATACTTCAGAGTTAGAAAGCCTGCGACAGAAGATAGCTACATGTCTAGTTTTTAATCAACTTCATTCGAATTTATTATTTCCTGCTCCGGGTCTGTTAAGGAATGTGACATAAATCATGGTTCATATAACCAGACATATAAGAGAAGAGTAAGCGACTCCAAGATGAGTTTTTGATGGTAGAAGAACTAACTCTGCCAAATTTGAGGATTACATTATCGACCAAAAGGTCGGAGGTTCGAATCCTCAACCTATGTTGTTGAACTCCAAAAAGAAAGAGAGAAACAAACTCTGTCGGCACAAGATGGAGAAGAAACAAGTAGGAATTAAGAAGTGTTGTCACAATAGGGAAAAAAAGACTTTATAAGCTTGAAAACAGGGCAGAGTGAAACTCAAATGCATCACATTTTTTCTACTGTATAAAAGATAATTGCATTTACTTATTCAATAAGCAACAGGTGGAACAAGCAGTCGGTACAAAAAAGCTACAAATTTTTCAGTATCCTTCCAGTCCCAACTACTATACAAAGATATAACATTTTACCAGATCAAAGACAAGGGCGAGAAGCTCTTTGGCAAGTCGAACTGAAAATCTCTTGATGCGAGCTTCACTTGTCGGCATTGATTCCAAAGATACGTACCTTGTGCATATGGGGAAACTTTGCAATAACTAGAACAATTACTGCAAGACTGTTGAGAAATAACATTGGATGTTGATAGTCAGTTGTGTGTGAGGCTATCAAGTACCTGCAGAATAAGAAGAAAATATGAATGGAGTTCCTTTTTGATGACCTAGTAATAGATATAGTTATCTAGCATTCGGGGGTATGTATGCTTAAAGGCTGATTACACCGAGAAATGCAGCTGCCGTTTGACAACCATTTCATTTTCTATTCTCTATTTTAAAAAATTATGCTTCTTTGTATACAATTTTATTAGCAAGGTCTTCACCTCTCTTCAAGAGACATATTCGAAATCTTAACCAAATTTCAAAAACAATTGTTTTCAAAATGTGGCCTAGATTTTGAAAAATGTTTACAAAAACTATATAACAAAAAAAGGAAAATATTGGGTGAAAGTAATATTTCTAAGCTTAATTTTTAAAAACAAAATGGTTATCAAAGAGGCATGTAGTAAGTAAAACTTCATCTTTGGAAGAATTCGAAGAAAAATGCATACTTTATTTTGAATGTTTAAGCATGAACAGGGTCAAAGTACTGAAGGAAAAAAGATTCCAAGGGGTTTAGGGCAGTTATTCAAATTAAAATCATTCTATTCCCTGAGTCTCTGACTTGAGTTTTGCATCTATAGCCTCCATCAAGCAAGATCCTTTGGAAAATTTTGATCTCTAAGAAGTGCAAAATTGTTATTTGGTCGTTAAAGTTTGGGTGATATTATTACTCGTGACGAAATTCAGAGGACCCTACATCTTGCCTCAGTCGAGTTGGTGCAGTCTTTGTAAGAACAGCTCAAAGACCTGATGAGATCTCTTGCTCCTACGTGGTGGATCTGTGGACAAAGCTTTTTCCACTGCAAAGGCTGTTGTTTCTGTTCTAATGTTTCTGTGGTTACAATTTTGAAAACAGTGCTAACAGTATTGTTGCCTAATGGGAGGAACAAAAGAATTTTCTACTGTTCCAAAGGAAGTCCTGAAGAATTTTCAACAAATCAAATACATCATCATCTTTATAATTTTACTATGAAATTTTGTAATTTTCTTTGACTAGTTGGAAGCAGTGTAGAACTCTCCAAGCATTTGAAGAGTTAAACAACAGGGATATACTTAATATAACCAAAACTCTACAGTGCCTTTAATTTAAATTAAGATGACACCGAATTGCCTGTATCACACCCTCTCATAATGCAGTAAAAATTGTGGCACACTGTCAGTACGCCTTCAGCAATGTGAAACCAATACAAAAGAGCAATCATGAATCTGAGGCAACTTCACATACAAAATCTCAGAAATCATAAAAGTTGCACAAATGGAACCAGCATAAAATAACAAGGCTGAAAAACCACGCTACCGTAGAAACATCAGCATGTGCATACACACACACACATTCATTTTTAATGGGAAAACTAAATTTTCATGAAAAGGGAACGGGGCTTGACCCAAAACCAATTGGGTTACAAAAAATTCTTCCCATAGGTGTTAATAGAGTTAGAAAATGAATCGTAGTTAAAAAAGGAATATATTAAGAGAGCACCAAATGGGGGCCCCTAAATTGAGATTCTAGAACTCCTCTACAAAGGCTGTGAAAAATTCAATTGTTTATTTACATCAAAAGTTCCCAAAGAAGAATTTTGTAGCAGAATTCCATAGCACCTTCCCTTTTTGTTTAAAATTGTGGCTATAAAATAATTGAGTCAAGGTCAAGCCTTGAAGAGTTGAACGAGGAGCTCGCCAATAAACAATGGATGTGCCCAAAAGGTGCTACCATAAGGATTGAATGTAAGAGCAATGCAAGAAAAGGTGCTTTGATGAGTTTCTAAGACAGACAACAGCAGTTAGGTAAAATCTAGCAGTGAGGATTCCTTCTTTGGATAATATCATAGTACCAGTGCCCCCAGAGCAAGAGTCCAAAGGAAGAATTTGATCTTTTTCGGAGTGCCTTTTTCAAAAGAACTATTAGAAATGTTAGTTCTGTTCTCTTATTAAAAGAAAAGGATGTTAATCCTGTTCGTGAAATGTAGCATAAGAAGAGTCTAGATCCACACCACACCACACCAAATTATCCTCCTGTTGGTTATAACAGAAACCTTGAATATTCTACTCCTAGGTCTCTCCATCAAAATGTGGTCTAATAAAATTGAGAAATCAGACACAGCTCTCCTGATTCCAACAATCCTCAACTGAAGAGGTCCTTGGAGCTAGATATCTGAAGAAGTCTGGAAAACCACTTTAAGCAGGAGGTCTAGAGCCCATCATGATGCAGAAGCAGATATTGTTTCCATTTCAAATTCTAAAGCAAATGGCTTTAGGTCCCAAGGGGCAGCCCGGTTGGCAAGGGTTTGGGGTCTCTTGGTCACACTGGCTTAGAGGTCTCAAGTTCGAACTTTCCAATGAGCTTAATATAAAAAACCTTTGATGTCTCCCGGGTCCGGTGTAGGCGTGCGTGCCTCTGGGTATAGGGGAGCAAAAGCTCCGACTCCCAGTTATCCAAAAAAAAATATCAAATGGCTTTAGACCAAACCAAACTACAAATTTCCATGGACATCCGCTACCAACCAAGCCTCCTCTGTCCACCACCTAAATGCTTGTGATAACATCCACATGTCTGATAGGATCAGACATCTTTCCTAAACAGCGAGACAATAGCTGCTACCTTTTAGAAGTGAGAAAGGAAATCAAGCAATACCAAACCAAGCATGATTCCAGTATTTCTAAATTTTGGCAAACATTTAGGAGAAGAAAATTTTTAGTTCAGATTCAGTGAAGGTCAGGTTAGTATGATCCAAACAAAATCAAAACAACAGCCTTAAGAAAACAAATTTTAGCATTTTGGAACCACCCTCCCTCTCTCAATATCAGCCAGCTCAAAACAGGTTCCATAGCAAACTTCCGCTATGATGCACCTCTCCCTCCCAATTGACTCTCAGGCTTTTCCCAGAGTGCCTCGCACATGGTAGCAAGTTGAAGTTGAGTCGAGTTAGGATAACCAGATATGTACGATCACCATGAAATTCATAAGCAAAGTATAGTATTACAACTACTCAAGCACTCTCCCTCTCATCCCTCATCTTTTTCCTTAATCATTTCTCACTCTTAATCCTCTCAGTCTCTCCCTATATTCATGTTTAATTTAGTTATTTCCAGTTACAGCTTGTAACACTTCAAATCTAAGTTGCATCTAAGACTAACTACACTCCAACGATTTTGATGTTTTGTTCCCATGGTGGCTAAGATTTCAAGTTCTACGTAATAAGAAGCTGAAACATTCTAACCCCTAGCATTCGAAATCAAAATTGGACAGTTTGGAGTATTGAATTGGTTTTTATAGATTGGATTTGGGAAGAAATATATATAATGGGAAATAATCAGATGAAGGCCAAGTTAATGATAAGAACTGTTGAAACACCAGTCGAAACAGAATGAAGCATAACACACACTTTGCTTGGTTCAGCTTTGTTGGCCCGGTAAGGTTTTCCACTAAAAAGAACCAATCTACCCCACTACTTCCTCGCATGAAAATATGAAGATCTCCAAATGCCAAAATTGAATTCCAAATTTTTGCAGCACCAACCATCATCTTATTACTTTCCTTGCAAAGTAATAGAAAAATTACAGATGAAAGATACTAATAAGAGGAAGTAGGATCTAGAACCTTTAATGAAGTGAGATATGTCATTATCACTTCCAAAGGACCAATTGCACCACCCCTACACCCACTTCCTTTATGAAAATTAGCAGAGGTAGCCAGATGAGCATTCTATTTCCTAATAGAAAATTTTAAAGCAAATTTCACATGTTGGAAAAAGAGATGGAGACCCATAGATTCAACCAAGAGTTACAGCAGTCAAAGCCTGTTAATGTGAGCGTCACTACCTAAGATATAGCTCAAAAGTTTGCTAACTATAAAATATTGAAAGTTAGGAAATGATCCCTAGTTAGTCTGCAGAACTCTTCAATCAATCATTAGAACTAGAAGAACTAGGAAGATAAAGTATCCATATCAGATAAATACTGCATAAATAAACACACAGCAATATTGGATAGAACATAGAATAAAAGCAGTTTGAAATTTGATTTCAGAGTTGCCTTGTATAATGGAAAACTTACAGCACCACGGGAACAACAGTCAAGAATTTCCTGTTGCGGGTAAGCTGCTTTCCATTATCTATCTGCTCCCACCACGTCAATCTATTGTAGATCCCCTGGTCTTCAGCAAATGGTGTCCCTTTCTTCCAATGGAAGAAGTGGTAAGTGACCTGAAGCAAAGGACACTCCTCTCCATCATTTTATATAAATTAATGAGCTCATTAACTTCAAAGAATGGAGCAAAAGAACGTTCTAAATCATTCTAAGCAGTTCGATGGCAGAGTTCTAAATCATTGAAGTGGGTACGTCCAAACCGTTGGAGACAATGTTCACCGACTCCACCCAAGATCCACATTTACACATAAAAACATGTATGGCAGTGTATATCAAACATTAAACTGAACAGTTTATAATCTTTTCAAAAATTGCTAATCGCATTTCACTCGTTTATCTCCGCAAAAAAATTTTTGTACCACTAAACAACTGCCTAAGAGTACAGGTCAATGGGTCGAGGCTTGAAATAAAACAATCATGGGAAAAGGTTATAAAAATTAAAGATGATGGAATGTTTATCTACCCTACCATACGCCTCTCCACAAGAATCCAAAGACAAACATCTGAAACAGTAAAACTCTAACAGAAGATAATAATCTCCTCCATATCAAAATTACTTGAATGCAAGTATGACCAAAGCAAGCGCGAATTCATTATCAAAGCCACAACAGTTGGCTATCTTTCTTTTGTTCAGACAAAATCAACCAAACGAATCTCTCCCGAATCCGAACCTCCACAAAAAGATTAAATGACGGGGACTAAAGCAGCATAGACCAATACACAAACACTAAAACCAAGCCGCAAAGGATGGCCCAATAAATGAATTGCACAAGTCAACAACAATCCCACGTCCAATGATGATATCACGGGAAGGCAATAAAAACCCAGATCAAAAAAATAACAAAAGAAGAAATTTCGATGCACATACAGCGAAATGAGAGAGATTGACGATGGTCCAGGCCATGCCAGGAGAGCAGCCAAATACGGAGAGGACGAGAACCCAGGCGAAGAACAGAATGAGAATATAGGTGGTCCAAACACCGGGATACAGGAACCATTCTGTGTTCCTATTCAGATCCGCCGGAGGCACAGCCTTCACATAGAGATTAGCCATCGACCCAGATTCTGATTTTTGTTCCGATACACTGCTGATGAGGGAAAATCCAACCTTCTTACCTTGGGATTTGACTGAGACAAATGATCAAATTCGCAAATCAGATTGAAGCGTTTGATCGCGTGCTCAGTAGTTCAAAATATTAAAAGCGAAACCCAGATAGCTTTCTAGGTATGGTTCTTCTTCGTGGGGTTGGRCCAATGATCGAAAAACAGAGCTTAAAATTGGTAACCAAGCTCTTGATGATAATAAAGCACTATAACGACACTTATCCACCGCCCCTAACAAGAAATATAATTTAGGTCTGACTAATTATGAGGAGTTTATTCCTTCAAATTTCTTTTTTTCCCTTTCCTTTTCAACAATTTATAGCCTTAGAATAACATATTATGAAGCAATCAACCTGCTGTCAATTTCTGCCCATTTCGTCTATCCATTCATTTCTCTATTATTTTAAAACATTTAATGTTTTTGTTTAATTAAAAAGTGCCGGTGCCAAAATCTTAAATAAATAGTTTCAAGCAGATTAATTCAAATTTTAATGATAACATAAGGATACGAGAAGGATAGGAGATTTGGTTTCCTTTTTTTTCTTTTTAAAATATGCTAGAATATTTATTTAGTTTAGTCTCTATATTTTGGAAAAGTTTATTTTAGTACATTTACTTTTAAAAAATGGTCATTTTAGTCCTTTCATTTTCCATTTTTATCTCATTTATTTCGATCAAAATTTTAACATGATGATGATACTTCACTTACTAAATTTCTTGTGATGTAACTACAAATCTACGTTAAAGAGTATCCATTGCGTATAAAAAATTGTGTCAAAATTTTATAAATGAGAAAGAAAAAATTATCACTTTTTAAATGTATATGAGCCAAATAAAACGTTTTGAAAGTATAGAAACTAAATTGAACAAAAATTTAAAATACATTGATCAAAATATTATTTTGAAAGTACATGAATCGAAATATACTAAAGCCAGAAGGACAACCACATAAAAATATCTAAACATTTTAAAATTAATTTATTTAGTAGTAATTGAAGGAGAGAGGTTGTGACTTGTGAAGGGTTTACATCATAAATTAAAGAATTTAGTTGTGGATTTGTTAGGGAGTTGGGAAGCAAATTTTGAATGAAAACATTTTTTTTTTCTTTGCTTAAAACTTAGGTAGAAGCTTCCTAACCAACAAATTATGTGGCAAATATTATTATACAATATACAAATTTGTTTAATGAAATTCTCATGGCACTCATTTTTTCCTTTTTGAAAAAAGAAAAGTGATTGTAATTATATAAGCAAATTGCAAAGCTATCACATTTAAAAAAAATGTGTATCTCATTTAATTTCCAAAGAAGATTGTATGGCAATGGTACATCATCTTCTTGTGTGAATACACATTATTTATCAGTCACATGATGCTATTGAAAAGAAGATTGATGACTCATTGTGGTTCAAATAGTTTAACTAAAACGCAAAGCAAAGGGCCTAAAGGCATCTTTAAGGAGCCTCAAGTAGGATACCTTTGAAAAATGAAGAATATGATGAATGATTATTGTCCATCAAAGCATATATGAACCTTTTGGGATATCAATTTAGAAAAATCTAAAAATGGGAACAAGAAATAAGAAACTTTATTTTGTTGTTTCTAAAATTCCTACAAGATTTTGCAGACGTTTCTTAAAAATGAGAAACAAGAAACAAAAACAGATACCTAACGTGAAGTTTAAAAATAAGTTAGACCAATGTTTCAAATCAATAAGTATTTTTCTCATAGCAGAGTGGATTACAATCCAAAACGACGAATACTGATGTTTGACTACTTAACTATGATTAGTATGATAGAAAAAGCTTTAACTTGCAATATTTAATATTGGATGTTCAGTTAAATTATAAATTTGGTCTCTTAACCTAGAGAGTTGTGTTTGATAAATCCCTAAATCTTTAATTTTGTGACTAATAGATCCTTAAACTTCAACAAGTGTTTAACGAGTCTACAAACTTTTAATACTATCAAATAGATCCATAGACTTTAAAGAACTTTAAAAGTGTCTGAGGCAAAGATTTATTACAAAGTTCAAAGAACGAGAGAAATTTTAAGGGTAAAATGACACTTTTAACCCTAAATTGTTGTTCAAAGATCATGTCAATCCTATCCAATCATGTGGAGCACATTACAAGTAGTGTTATGTAACCAATGATGATCTATTAAAAGTGATACAAACATATATTGAAAACAGGAAAGAGAGGAAGAGAATATAACAGAAATCTAAAAAGAAATAGTTTTTGCTATTTAGATTTTAGATTATGGTAGTTGTCTCTTGAAGAAACCAGCTGTTTTAGAGATATTAGTTACATATTCCATATTGGGAATGTCCAAACTCCAAAGATATGTTTTTTCCCTCCCTCCCTAAGAAGACAAATCATTCACTATTCTAACTTTGGATGCAATACAGAAAGAATCTTCACCCATTTATGGTTCATGCTCTCTCTAGATTAGATTTCTGTTTTTGAGCTGCAAGTTCAGAAAAAAGTACAAAATGGGTTTCTAATCTCTTTCTTGAAATCCCCTGGCTTTAGTATAGACCACGTCAGGTCTTCTATGCAAAACCGAACCATGTCACTTCTGCACGTCATAATTTTGAGTTCAACACTACGTGAGGTTAGGGATTCAAACCTCCAACGTTTTAATCAAGGATATACATCTTAACTAGTTAATCAGTTGAGCTATGCTTAGATTGTCTTTTTCTCAAGTCATTCAATTGAATTACCCATGCTTTTGAGGTAATCACAGTTGAAGTCTTTCTCAAGAGTAGCAGTGAAAGCAGCATATGAATTATAAAACAGTACAAAATGTTAGTTTTCAACAGACTGATCAGTGATCAACTCAGACAGATACGCGGCGGTGTCTTCAACAATACAAAACCTGGAAACTCATTAATCTAGCTTTTTATTTCTGATAAGATAGAATCACATCAATGGATCAAGCGTTTTATCAAAATAACAAAAAACGAATCATCCAAGTCGAATGGAGACAGAAATATGTTGGCTGTGACATCCATTAGGTGGACTGGACAGCGACGTAGCTTGACTACATAATATTCATGATCAGGCTAGTTCATCCACAATTTCATTTAGGTTAAAAGAACAGTATTGCAACCATATGACATACCTATAAGATGGAAAGAAGACGAACGATCTGGAGTCGAGGATAAAACTGCAGTGTCGCTAACCATGGACCAGAGAATGGAGTTCAGATCACCTGGCCACAAGAATTTTTGAATCTTCATTCTTCTTGGAGGCTGCTGCTTCTTCTTCATCTTCGTCGTCTTCTTCATCTTCTTCTTCGCTGTTGAACAACTCCAGATTAACTGGCAAGTCCTCCACTGCCACCTTAACCACATCGGTTCGAACACCAATGTCAGTGGCGTATCTACTCATGCTGTACATTCCAGCAGTCATCACAGCCATACCCACAGGACTTGGCATTAGCAACTTCAGAGGAGAGGAAAGAATGGCAGCCAAGGGAGCACCAATGACAGAAGAAGCTTGACCACTTCTTCCAACCCCAAGCCTGTCTACAATCAGAAGACCTGTCTTGCAGTATAGAGCAAAATCCTCACAGTTGTTTTGAAACACATTGTAGTTTCCAAATCCATTTTGAAGAAGGTACATTGCTCGATGAATAACCATGTCGAATGAGTCGGACATTGCAGTGGTGCAAGTGCCACCCCGTACCCTGGAAAGGAAAACCGATGGGGTGACTCCATACTCAAAGCAGTAAAGGGATCCATTTCTGAGGAAGCAGTCCAGACAAGAAAGGACTACCCCACTGTTGGGCTGTTTGAATCCACAGTCAGGAAAGACTGGACAGGATGATGGATTGCTTGAACTCGAATCATAGAAATCAGGAGACGTGTCAGTGCTTGAATTCAAGTTCCTCTGAGGTCTAAAATGAACCACCTTGCTTCCCCCTACAAAGATGCCTGCATAGCGAAACCAGTGGAGAAAGATGAAAAATGAAAATTTTATGGTAGTGTTAGAAGCTCCTGGTCTTGTCATTTTTAGTAAATGGAATTGGAAGTAAACATAAATGGGGTTTCACATAAGTCAGAATAATTGGACTTCTCAAAACCATCAACTAAAAATGAACATTTTGAAACAGATTGCTTCAAATGGCATTGTGGAATTAAACATATGTGGTAATTGAGTTCAATGAATTAAAAAATTAACTTCTGAAGTAAAAATTTCTCCAGGCATTACAGTGTTGGAAAAATTCATTCTAAAAAGTCAGTCTTATACATGAAGTTTCATATGAAAAGTTTTATTTGAAAAAACCGAATAATTCAGGCCACAACTTAGGGTGAATAAAATAAAGCAGAGCTCTACATAAATTCAGAAGAATAGCAAAACTTACAGCAGAATATTTTTTTTTTATCAGATTCTGAAGAAATTCAAGAACAGTTAAGAACCACCTACCAAGAGGCAACAATCAATTGTCCAACAAAATCACAACCTAACCTACATGAGCAAACAATACATTTGGCACAAGAACAAAACTAAAAGGATTACAAAGAACACACAAAACTAATCAAAAACATTATTGCACTTGGGGACACGAAAATAAGCTGATGAACAACTAAAACTTAACAAAGACGTGGAGAAAATTGCAACTAAAATATATGATTTGAGCTTGAGAGCTAAACCATTTATAATCGATAGACGAATAACAAATACCTATCTCTCTCCCCCTTTTTTCTGGGGAAAAAAAACTTTAAGAAGGCACATTAGATGCGGAATTCTATGGTCCTCATTCTAGTTTAAGAAATTAAAACTATCAGCTTCTTATTTACTGCACAATGCAAGAATGGATAAGCAATTAAACAAGCCGAAAATTGAAAGAATTGAGATCGTAAGTAACCATAAGATTGTAAATCTTGGAATGGGATCCAGCAAGCATTATGATGAAACACACAACATATAGAAAAATGCAATTCTAGTGAAACCAAACCCAGACAGTATCTATCAGCAATATATTGCCGGAAGAAAAAATCACAACCATGAACAACACAACAGTTAATCTGATTAATTATAAATGCAATATGATCGAGCGAGGGGGAAGAACCCAGAGACAGAAATGAGGGGACAACTGAAATTGAAATCGTTTTCCTCGCAAAGAATCTCGAAATTCAAAAGGGGGGAGAAATGAAGAAGAGAAATACCATGATGGGAATAGGCGAACACAGCTCTATAGGAGTAAATGTGGTCGCCCGGCTTGATTTCACTTCTCTCCACTCGATTGCTGAGCAAACCCATTTGCTCGCTTGGCCCGCTACCTCTGTTTTCTGGGTCTACTTCTTCATCCAACCGCCGCCGTCGCCAGTGGAACTCGCTACTGCCCCACAGTCACTGACTCACTGAAATTGTGATTTTCTTTTAGAAAATACGGAAGAAGCCAAATGGGTGCGTTGTGCTGTGGCGATCAATGGTTGGCTGGTGCGAGAATCAGTTCAACAACCCATCCACTGAATGTTTCTCTTTTTGGGTCTCTCTTTTTCTTGAGGATTTGCTTTAAAAAGGCGTCATGAATCATGATCCCAATGAAATGATGATATTATAGCTACGATGAGCCATATACATATATAATATAATGTTTTTCTTCCATTATTTTGACCGCATTTCTCTCATACCCAATGCAATCGAAGAATTTCTACAGGATAATAGAAGACCCAACACATAAAAAATATATACATATACTATTTTTTGGCAAGATAATCAAACAAATTTTAAGTTAGGTACAATAACTATTGTTTGGATTTCAAAATTGGGTTTTTGAATGGGCATGTAGATAAGGGAATCTGATGTGCTTTGGATTCCTTGCCATTCTTCCAAGTTATGCCTTGGCTGCTTTGTACACTTTATTATTCTTTTCCATACTCACTAAATTAACTCGGTTTCTGTGTTTTATTGCATACATTGACTTGGGGATTGGCATATCATCGCTTCACGCCATCAACTCCGAAAATTGAACAAAATGACCCAACAAATTTTTGAGTTCAAGAAATTGAGTTTAAAAACTAGTTTTTCTAAGAGTGAGAAGTGTGGATAGACAATTATGCTCATTGTTTTAAATGAAAGCATCAGACTCTCTTTTTGACTCTAGTGTTCTCAAATTTAGAACGAAAAATCGTTCGTGTGAGATTTCAATCGTTTTCTCAAAATCTAAAGCTCGAATCTTCGAGACCGTAAAAACCTTATTAATAATAAGAAAGGGCAAAAAATACGCTCAAACAACCTATCTTACTAATAATAAGAAAGGACCCTATCTAAGCTCTATTGTTGTAAAGCTTCAGCTCAAAAGCCGGTCTTACCTTCTATGTTATTAGTAAAGCCTAAAGCCCTTTACTAATAGAAAGGGATTTTCTTGCTTGTTTAGTAAAATCACGCTTTTCATTTTGATAGGAGTAGATGCTTGCAAGGACAGGGCACTCTTCATTCTTCATTCGAAACTAATGAATGTTGGGTCGGGGGGTTCTGCCTTGTTATCAAAAAGAGAGTTGGGTAAAGCAAACTCCCTCCTTGGACGAGCACGGTTCACTTTTCTCGAGTTTATGGATCGAAACAGTGGTAATTTTAAAAATATAGAAACCAAAATGAATCAAAATCAGAGGTCTAGCTACCCTCTTTCAATGTTACTTGCTTAGATGCTCTAAACGCTCTCTCAAAATCATCCATTTTCTTTGCTTCCATTTGATCTGAACTGCTTTTATTGAGATAAACCGGCAAGTCCTCCACTTCCACCTTAATCACATCAGTTCGAACACCAATGTCATTTGCATATCTTATACAATTGTACCATCCAGCAGCTGTCACAGCCATACCAACAGAACTTGACGACATTAGCAACTTCAGAGGAGAGGAAAACATGACAGCCATGGGAGCACCAAAGACAGAAGAAGCTTGACCACTTCTCCCAACCCCACGATTGTCTCTTATCAGAACACCCGTTTTGCAGTATAAACCAAAATCCTCACAGTTGTTTGCAAACACATCGTACTCCCCAAATCCATTTAGAAGAAGGTACATTGCTCTGTGGAGAACCTTATTCGATCGGTCGGATTTCGCAGTGGTGCAAGTGCCGCCTCGTACCCTCGAAAGGAGAACTAGTGAGGAGACTCCATAATCAAAGCAGTAAAGGGAGCCGTTGCCGAGACAGCAGTCCAGACAAGAAAGGACCACACCACTGCCCGGCTGCCTGATTCCACAATGGGGGATGCTGAGGATGTTTGGACAGGATAATGATGGAATGCTTTTACTTGAAGAACAGAAACCAGAAGATGTGGCACTGGCAGTTGTTGATTTCAAATTCATCTCAGCTGTAAAATGAATCACCTGGTATCCACCTGCGTACTAGTGGAAGAAGATACAAAATGAAAACTTTATGGTATATATTGTCAGAATGTGTTATTACACTTCAGAAGTTCCGGGTTCGGCCCTGTTTAGTAAATCTAAATGTAAATGGACTCTCAAAAGAAGTTACAAAAACCCCATTTGGCAACTACTTTGTTTTTGGTTTTCTGCTTTTGAAATTTTAGTTTATGATTACTGCTTTCACTTACTTTGGTATAAATCTAAGCCAATTTTTTAAAGCTAAAAGGATAGTTTTTAAAAATCTTGTTCCTTTTCAAAATTTGGAATTGAAAAAGATTGAAAGAGTATTCATAATTTTCATAAAACTAAAAATAAAATTGTTATCCAACAGGGCTTAAATAATTGGACTTCTTAGAACTCAAGAAAACAAACTTATATATTGGTGGACAATGGACACAATTATCCCATTGGTACGACATGAAATCAAAAGCAAAATCAAGAGAGTTATGTCTAAGGTGGACAATATCATATCATTGAAGAAAAGTATCTATGTCTTTGTTAAGACAAAGTAGATATCTACCCAAAGAAACCACGATCATAAGAAAGCAAATCTCGGTGAAACTCACAACTTTCAGATTGATAGAGATGGCTTTTGTGCTGGTCAATCTGTATCCCATTCTTCAGGTATAGTTTTGTTTGATCACAGATCGGCAGGTGATCCATCCTTTCRCCCCCTTTGGTCAGTCAGTCGTCTTGATCCATCAGAGGGTCTTGAGCTAGCTTCCTTGAAGAGGCTTGATGGGAAAGAGAGGTAAAAGAACCTAAGGAAGGTACCTCACAAGCTCTTGGATTCCATGGCTAAGGCTTACTTTGGCAGAGGACTTTCCACTAGAAACAGAAAAAATGTAATACTAGTAAAACCTTAGCAAATAAGTCCAGACGGTATGCATCAGAAATATAGTAGCAGGAAGAAGAATGGTGGACTGTGAACAACCCTTGATGTGATTTTATTCCCATATTGTTTTGACAGAAATGCTATGGTATTGCTATACAGAGTGGATAACAGATTAGGAAATGCAAATTGCAAATAATGTGGAAATTGAAAAGTGGGAGTAACAAAGAGAAGAGAAGAGAAGTATGAATTAGTACCATGATGGGAATAAGTGAAGGCAGCTCTGTAGGTGTAAATGTGGTCACCAGGTTTGATCTTACTTTTGCCCACTCGATTGCTCACAAAACCCATTTGCTCTCTTCGCCTGATCCCTCTGCAATCTGGGTCTGCTTCAATCAATTGCCACTCTCACCAATCCAACTCCCTACCACCCCACAGTCACCACGCCAAATTATGAACCTCTCAAGCAGAAGAAACGATGGAAATTGTAAATAATGACCCAAAATGTTTTTTAGGTTTAGGAAATTCACCCAAAAGTTAAAAAAAATGAGTCTTTCTGACTGGCCGGTGAAACCGAAATCACACAACTATCATTGTTTCAAAAGTTAAAAATATTGTTGTTTTAAAAAACTGAAAACATGGTCGACCATGCCACGTGGCTCCATGCCGGGTGCCACATAACCTTGCATTCATGTATTCAGGATTTTCGCTTTTCAATGTCTCAGATATCCAATTGTTTTGAGTTTTTTAAAACAACAATATTTTTTAAAAAAGTTTCAAAATCTACCATACTTTTAATATTTTTAATTAAACTACAATATTTTTAAAATAAGTTTCATTTACAATAATATTAATAAAAATGTCCCATGAATATCACCCAATATTCATTCAATTTCAACTGATTCAATGAATTTCAAATTTCATTAAATTTCTGAAATAAATGTAACTTAATGCTCGTTTAACCTTTGGAATCGGTGAGAAATGATTTTAAAATTTAGCATTTTGAATAATGGAAATGATTTCAAATTTCTAATTGTGTTTGGAACCAAATGGAATTCAAATCATTAAAAGTGAAATTTCTTAGTTTGATGTTCACGAGAAATGAAAAAAAAAAGGCATATTATTTTACTATTATGCCCTTATAATTTAGTATAATATTATATTAATAATAATATAATATTTTAATATGAAATAATATCAACCACATATACAAATGAAATCATTTAATCAAATCAAGATATTAAATTAAATCTTGCCAATAAGATTAAAAAAGAAAAAACTTGTAAACAAATACTTGAAAAAACTTAAAGTCGAATTATTCCGAATGTAAACAAAAATAATTCCTATGTTTACTTTTTTTCTTCTAATGCAACCTCCTACTTGCTTAAACTTTTTTCTTTTAACTTCTTTTGATTGAAGAAAAAACCTCACGAACAAAAACACAAGAACGAAACTTAAAAAAAAATTACAAAAATGTTTTAAAAAATACTAAAGAGAAATTTTAAATATATAAAAARAAATTGTATTTTGCTTGAACAATAATTCAGAAAATGTTTGTAGAAGAGAGACGAGGAAAAAAGTAATTTAGTTGAACGGCTATTTGCTTATGAAGTCATGTTTGAAGATTATCTGAATGTAGAATAAATTTGGAATTAGATACTTTTTAATTTCAAATCCGAACTATTTGGAATGGAAAATTTTGGGACTTAAAACGTGATTTCAAGCTCATTCTTTTTCTTTCCAAACAGACACATGAAATGATTTTTTCAAAATCATTTATGATTTGAGAATCCTTGTAAATTCTAGTTCCAAACAGAGGGTAAATGAAATTGCATAAATCTTTCTGTATTCCTTTTTTTAATTTATTATAATTTTTCGAGTAAAATAATCGAAATTTCCAAAAGAATATGATTCAGTATGATCCTAAAAATTATTTCTTTACTTTCAGAAAAAAGTCACAACTGTTTCATTTGAATTAAGGAGTATAATTGTTCATTCACATCCTGACTTTTCAAAAAAATATTTTTTTTGTTTTTTTCAGTACAAAATATTGTTAGTTAGAAAAACCTATTTTCAAATTTAGACCCATTTTCTAAACCTAAAAACATTTAGGATCATTTTGATCAGCCGCACAATCCCAAGTTTCAATGACATTCCTCACCCTCGTAAAAGCACCTTTCTTTCATCTTCCCCCTCCCTTTTCTCTCTCCTCGTAAAAGAGTTCAAATACTAGTTTGTTTATGTATTTTAAGATTTTGTTCATTTTAGTTTCTATACTTTTAAAATGTTCGTTTTGGTTCATGTATTCTCAATTTTGGTTCATTTTAGTCCATGTATTTATTAAAATGTTCATTTTTTGGTCCTGTACTTTTAAAAAGTGACTATTTTGCTCCCTTAATTTTATCCTTAATCTAATTTTTTTCTATCATCATTTCAACACGACATTAAAATCATTATATTTCTTAAAATGTAAACAATACTTTATGGTAAAAGTTTCCATTATGTGTAAAATTTGTGTTAATTTTTTGCAAAGAGGGACTAAAATGATCACTTTTTAGAAGTATAAGGATTAAACTGAACATTTTTAAAGTACAAGACTAAAATGAACCAAAGTTTAAAATATAGGGACCAAAATGAAGTACGGGAATTAAAATGAACCCAAGACTGGATGTACAGGGACCAAAATAGTAGTTTTAATTTAAGGCGGTATATATTTTAAAAGAAATAAAGTTTCTCTATACATATTGGTGCTTAACTTGAGTATAATTCAACCGTTAAAGCGAATGTAGCTCATTTTGAAGAAATTTCTTACATTTTTCTTTTAAGAATATAAAAATTAGTATCATTTTTTTAAGGCCAAATCTTCTCCAATCTCCATCTTTTTTCGTTTTTTTACACCATGTGGGGTTGTAGAATCTCCATCTTTGTCGTTAATCTTTTGTAAATATATTTTCATACAAATATTATTTATAATTTTAGATTTTATGATTACAAGATAGTCAATTATTGTCTAAACATTAAAGCTTTATTTTCAAACTAAAAAATAATCCATCTATTTTTACAATTTTCATATTTCTTTGTCGAAATTTTCATCAACATTGATATTTCTATTTCTATAAGATTAGAGCCTCAACATTTTCATCAACATCAATATTTCAAACCTTACCTTAATACTTACAAAAATAAAAAATTGCTGTAGTACCAAAAGTAATAGAACTCAATACTATTCATATAAAGAGAAAAAAAAAAGAAGTATAAATCAGTGGCATATCTATAGGGAAGAACCTTATTCATACACTTTTAATCCCCTAAGTTAAAAGATGTTTCAGTTCATACTTCATAGACGAACTTATGAGACATGGCCTCTTCCCATCCTTGATCATCTAAATACTCCCTCAAATCTTACTTCTTTGCTTCCATTTGATCGAAGTTGCTTCTATGATAAACCGGCAAGTTCTCCACTTCCACCTTAATCACATCAACTCGTTGTCCAATGTCATTCACATATCTACCAAAGTTGTACCATCCAGCAGCCGTCACAGCCAAACCCACAGAACTTGACATTAACAACTTCAGAGGAGAGGATAAAATGGCAGCTGCGGGAACACCTATGAAAGAAGAAGCTTGACCACTTCTTCCAAGCCCTCTATTGTCGCTTATCAGAAGACCTGTTTTGCAGTATAAACAAAAATCCTCACAGTTGTTTTGAAACAAATCGTACTTCCCAAATCCATTTAGAAGAAGGTACATTGCTCTGTGGAGAACCTTATTCGATCGGTCGGATTTCGCGGTCGTGCAAGTGCCGCCTCGTACCCTCGAAAGGAAAACCATTGAGGAAACTCCATAATCAAAGAAGTAAAGGGAGCCATTGCCGAGGAAGCAGTCCAGACAAGAAAGGACTACGCCACTGCACGGCTGCCTGATTCCACAGTGGGGGATGCAGAGGGTGTTTGGACAGGATGGTTGAATGCTTGAGCTTGAACAACAGAAACCAGAAGATGTGGCAGTTCTTGAATTCAAATTTACCTCGGGCGTAAAATGGATCACCTGGTATCCACCTGCGTAGATGCCTGCACAGAGAAACCAGTGGAAGAAGATACACAACGGTAACTTTATGGTATATGGTATATATTGTCAGGAATGTGTTAAGACTTATGAGTTATGACACTTCAAGAGACAAGAAGTTCCGGGTTCAGCCCTGTT